TAATATTTCGTCAAAGTAAATCAATTCTTTTTTAAAAAAATGTGTCGAAATTCACATAATTTCTTTTACCAATTGCGCATAATTTGAATACACTAAATTTACATAAAATGGACATCGGATAATTAGTTGTTTTGTTTTTAACATACATTATACACATATGGAAAATGGCGCTCGGGGCGACCTTTTAAGACCCAGGGACAATATTTTACCATTAAGTCGACACTTTTATGCCACCTGTCAGACGAAGTACCTTTCAAATCGTTTAGACATTTATTTCCTCGGCGATGGTAAAAATTAAACGCAACGTTGTTGTCTTTTGTACCTAACACAAACAAAATAAGCTGGTCGAGTCTTTGCAAAATAAGCTACACTTAATCAAATTATCAAACTATTATTAGCTGTACAATGTCTAATGCTCTCTAACTGATGGCTTTTCTGTTCATCGTCGAGACACACAATTAGAATCAAGCCGAGGGTCATGAACGAATATTTGATCAACCAGTTTATCAACGATAAGGTCGCTGGAATTTGTATATTATGCAAAAATGTTGAGTGAACGAATAATCTTCGTTCGAGGAGATTCTTATACAACCGATAGAAGCTCCGAGTCATTGATAGTGCATTCACCTGAAAGATGCGATTGTCGACGGCGGAAATCCATCTGGAAAGACGGACAACATAGTATACCTATTAGTTATTGTTCATGATATTTATGTATACATTATGTAGGCGAAAAAATCTGATATTTATATTGCGGACCACTTTGTCCGTACGCCGTCGCATACACCTAAGTCCCACGAGGATTACACTGCATAACCGAGATGACTTTATACTACCGTTGATTTATTACCGCAAAAATATGCGCCAAGTTATTAAATCGATTATATACGATAGAACGAATACCGCCTAAACAAACACATATTATGCAAATTGATGTATACAGTGTGTACCTATATTATCACATAACCAGCAGTATTATAATCGTTGGATTATATACTTGCACATCATATGTATGTATTATGCATGTGGTGTGCATTTGGGTAGCTGAGCATGAAAATATGATAGGTACAATTTAATACTATGTATTATCGTGGATGGTCGTTGTAATTGTTATCAGCTGTTGCGTGTCAGTATTTAAAACCGTCTAGTAAACGTACATTAACACTTCTTATGGACGCGTAAAGGAGCTAAGTCATAATTAATGAATACACGATCATTCCAGTTGCTGAACCGAGTACAACATAATAATAATAATAATATGACTAACGCTGCATTAACCCTACGGCGTTTAGTCGCACAGACGGCTATGATAATACTTCATTATTATTCATATTAAAATATTATTATTACATAATATGCTAATAATTGATTTCCATATGCAACGCTTTAGTGGGCATGCGGAGAAGATAACGGTACCGTAAGATTATAGCGTGCTTTATTCCTCGGAAGTGTTATTTTTAGAATTACTGAGATACCGTCGACCGCATTAGACGGTTTAAGCCAAACAAATTTAAATCTACCCGAAAACTGACAAGGCTATTAGCGATGGATATCTGTTTAATGGGCTGATTCAGAATTCCACTAAGTCGATGGAAGCGTATACTGCAGCCATCAGATAACTGACAAGGTCGAGTAAATGTTTGACAATCGTCTTAACAATATTAAAATTGAAATAAATAATCATCATTGATTTTATTAATAAGCCATTCACTGACGACACTTTAAACGAATAATACATCTCTCTCTCTCTCTATATATATATATATATATATATATATATACAATTTGGTTAAATTATTTATTATATTCCTCAGACGTCATCTGTGGACCATTTAATATATTTCATCACCGCATTATTGTGATTTGACCTCTAAATTTTATTTGAAATAAATTCGAAGTTCAATTGTTAGAGGGTTGTTTTGTCTCACCTCCTCAAACCGCCATCTGATTAAGTGCAGTACACATTTAATATACTGTTTAATACGAGGCCATTATTAAATTGTTCAGAAGGGATGGTATTGTTCTGTTGTAGTAATAACGTTGTATTCCACAAGAACAATTAATAATAATTGGTTTTTAGACAGTTTTTGTCAAAAAAAACTTGACAACTGGAAATAATCATTAGGTTTTTCAACAAAAGAAAGTGAAAAAACATAATGATAACTTACTGAAAAAAAAAATAAGCTGTTAAGGGTTATGGAACTCGAGAGACGATGCTCATCAAAACCAACAGCTCAATCAGATCACATAACTGTATGTATAAATTATTTCTAAAATATCGTTAACTCGGGTTTCCTCGGGCTACTTCGGGCCAAACCGCCGAATTACGCATGATTATTATGTAATTACATTGTGGAATTCGTTGTGTTATGAATATAATAAAAGGCAAAAAAAAAAAAACCCCTGTTCCCACGGGACGTTGGTCAGCAAATGGTTCGTGTTATCCGCACATATAGGCAATGGGAGGGACGGACAGTGGGCAGAGTCTTGACCCGTAAACCGTATTCAATTAGCGACGCATGGCAAAATAATAATTCCCCGGAGACGGTACCGGCCAAACAGGATAAACCTAAAGCAAACTATACGCTGCAAGTATAACATGTATCGTGCTGCCGTATACGGTTAAATGTATTTACTTATTTATTTCGAATACGTTTTCTTTGTTTAATTAAAAGTGCGATCTTAAACAACGACGCTTAACCGTGAACACGCTATTGTACGAACGTCGGCTTTATCTTTTTCCCATTCGCAGGTGTTCTAACGCAAACCAATATGAAAAAAAAAAATATATATATATATACATATATAGGTTAGTTATTCCGCGTTCTAAGAGCGTCCGGAGTTGAATATAAGAGGTGTGCTTTGTGTGTGTGTGTCCCGTGACTGAATTGCTAATCGTTCCAAGCCAGAGCAAAGTACCCGCTACTATTTTTTGTTCCATCTAAACTTCTACGTGTTTGTTGTTTAAACTCTTCTATGGACCTTGCCGGATATTTGCACACATACACATTTATACAAGTGCCAGTATAAAAGGGCTTTGAGGATTATATGAAATACTTGTACAAAGAATGGCGCCGTTTTAGTCGAAAACTTGTAAGGCCGTACCAACCAACATAACTGCACACCTGTATCAATTTAACGTAAGACATTCTCATTCTCGGAAAATAGTCGCAATTTTGTAGGTTTTTTTTTTTTTTTGAAAACATTTGTATTTATATCGTTTTTAAGTATCATTAATTTAACAAATATTTACCTCTTTTGCAATTTTCCAGAGCTCTATCAACTTTTAAAGTAGAAATGGATATATGTAATTAATTAACTTTTTAAATTGAGAATATTTTGACTGGTCAATAACCAGTTTTGAACAATTATTTTTAAGCTATAATAACTTTAAAACTGGTCGTAAACTGGTTATTGACCAATCAACATTTTCAGAAAATTATGTTTGATCTATAAAAAGTTAATACATCGATACCATTAAAGTTTTAAAAGTCAATAGAGTTCTGGAAAAATTAAAAAAAAAAAAATTTGAATATTATCTAATATTGTAAAATAACATAAACTAAAGAGTCTTCCATAAAGAAAAACTACAAAATTGCAATTCTTTTGAGAGAAAATCACTGTCTTACGCTGAATTGATCACCCTGTACATTTTATACACATTACAATAGCCAACCGACGAGAGCGTTAACGTTCATTTTTATTTTCTACGGTAAATAAAAAAGTTTAACTTTAAAGTGTAGTTCACACAAACTCAGCAAAACGTATGTATGTATTTTGCTGCTCGTCTAAAAGTATGCGACATGCTTTTTATTAAAAAAGAAAACCGAGAAATGGTCGAATTATAATATCTAATGTCTAATATGCGCTAATGTTTAATTTGCAACAACCACCAAAGTCGAGGCGAATAATAAAAAAATCTTTATAGCCTCAGTGCCATTCAATACAAATATTTTAGTCGGGTCGTGTAGAATAGTTATCGCTCGAATCGTATTCCACTGGTATGACTGTTCAAGTTTGGATGGTACTCCACTTGAGAGATAATATACCTACACCGACATTCGAGTTAAAAAAAAAATTAATGCCAGCCATGTAATTACAGTACGGGTTTGTCCCCCGCTCTTCTCTTATACTGCACATCGAACAGAACGTATCTAAATATATTTTGATTCAATTATACTCGGAAAAAAGAATCGTTATGAGTGTGTCTACTCAGCTCATAAGTATATCCTTGCAAAAAGTAGTATGATGTTATTATTATGATAATAATAATTTTTTTTTTTTTTACATTATATAGCTATTATAGTAATCAACGTATAACGGCGACTGCGGTACATATAATAATTGAAAAGTAAAAAAATATTATTGTTAACGGGGTTTTCTTAGCTTTTTAATTTGGGTAATTTTTCATTTGGACATTTTTTTTTTATTCCTACTAATCTTGACATTTTTCTTGAAAACTCACGGAAAATAATAACTCGGAGAGATAATATATATATTATTATTTTTTTATGTCGTCTCAGAATGTTTATTATGCTCAAGGACTGTGGAAACTTTTTTACATTAGCAAAACTTTTAAGCTTAACAACTTCTCCGAATTCTTTCGCGTCTAACTGCTACGAAGTATAGTATACTTATACGGTCGTAGACCGGCTGAAAAAAAACTATATTCGGACCGAAAACGACTTAAGGAATGAGAGAAGGTAAGAACAAAAAAAAAGAAATCCCTTGGCTCGTCAATGGAGTTGAAGTAGCGAAACCCGTTGAATATTTAGCAACGATAAACATAATTAAAGTGGTAAAAAAGCTGACAACCGACAAGTAAAATCAATTTCAACCAATGTATATATTATGACAAGGTGTCAAAAAAAAACATTTTTTTTATTATTACAACCAATATTGCTCTAACGTAAAATTTTACACTGATTAGTTAGAGATTTAATGAAAACTGCGTGCAAATGTAATTTATTATTATTAGTCTCTAATTGTAAAAATCATACTTAAAACTTACAGTTACAGGGCATTGTCACCCAGACATTCGCTCGTCAGACTCGCCTAAAAAACAAAATAAAACAACTATTAAAATTTCATTATAATTTAACAATATTTATTACGATATTACAGTATGCGAATGTTTTATACTTGAAATTTCGTTATCAATTAGAAGCATTTACATTTTGCATCCCTTTGTTGAAGAATTAATAATACGTACTAGTTCGTAGTACACTAAGCCCTTTTCTCTTCCTTTCGCCCAATTCCTTCATTAATCCACTACCTTATCTCTTACCTCGTTTATATATAATTATCAACAGAGATACAATATAATCCTACAGTTTATCCCTTACTGTTTACTAAAGTGTGCGTTACCTTGTCAGACGATAAAACGTGTTCAAAAGCCAACATGAGATTTTGAAATAACTAATTTAAATGTTTGTTTTCATCATTCGAATAACGTTAGTCGTTTGAACCAAATGTAAAAATTGAAAATACAATTGATTTTAATCAATTAATTTTTAAACAACATTCGAATAAGTTGCATTAAAAAAAAAAACTTATTTTAATAATTAAAACATACCTAATAAAATAATTACCTAAATTTTTTTAAAGACCTTTTTATTTGTGATAACGTAGCTATTAAAATGATAACATTTTTAAATTACAAACACCATTATTCAAATGTACTTGAATAATCTATTATTTTTTTTCAATCGAATAATGTCCAACTCTAAACATATTGTGGAGAAAAACCAATAATAGTATTAAAGTACTTAAGTACCAGAAAAATGTAGTCTAAGTCCAAATGGCCACTGCGTCCATTGTCAGTTTGTCAGTGTTAAAACTTGAAAAATGTGTGCGTTTGCTCGGTCTATTTTCGAGCGGACTTTTCCCAAACTTCCGACCTTACAAATAGTACCAATCACGTTTGATCGACTTTGTACAATATTATACGACCGCTGGTCCAGCGATTCCGTACACTGTGATATAGTGCAAACCCCAAACAAACAAACAAAGCACATCGTTGCGTTAAAACCAATACCTTGTCCGGTTGGACTGTATCATTTTATGTACAGTATATTTCACTGCGGTTGACGACGCCCCCGTCTTCATTTTTCCTACAATATCACCGTTGCCGGTTCATGGACCAAAAAGCCCGGGGCGAACGTTAACGAGCACTTAAAGTTATTAAGCGGTCCGAAAATATTAGAAAACCAAACGAACCGCAAAACCGTTGCCGCCATCATTTTTAATATGTTTGGCAAAACTTACGGCAATTTTTCCACATATTTTTCACCGTCCAACTCGTGCTCCGTGTTCGCCGTCTAATGCGTTTACTTCCCCTGGTCACATCAATATTGCTAGAGCACATTACGAATAACCCAGTGTGTGTTTGTGTGTACAAAAGCCAAAGATATTTGAATTTTGGCGAGCGCGAACACATTAGCTCAACTATAGAGAGGGACGGTGAAGTTCAATGCCCTTAAAAACTCCCTCAGGATTTGGATAAAAATTAAAAACGGTACTTTAGGATCGTGCCTGATTGGTCGCTGACATATTCCTTCGGAGCCCGAAGGAAAATAAATGGATTCCCCTCGCGGAAAAAAAAATATTCGGTCGCAACATGATGATGGTTACGTCTAAAACGACCAGATTTTGTAGTTAGGTTAGTTCTGTACTGAACAAAGTTTCTTTTAACACAATCATTAGATCGTCTAGAACAATTAAATTTGCGTTAACTAAATGTTTATTAAATATTTTTAGATCAGTCTAATTTTCAGACGTTAAGTCCCAAAACTACGAACGGAAAAGTGAGATAAAGACAAAGTTTCCTTTCCTCCGAGAGAATGGGTTTTTTGATAATTTTTTTCGACGAAATCGATAATACTAGAGATAAAGAATATTTTATACAGCCGAGGAAGTACTTTTAAAAAAGTTTTCGTGTGCCTTGTATTTATGTTGAAAAATAAGTACATTTTTTTGGGGGATTTTTCTCGACTCTTAAGGGAAAGGGTGTGGATTTTGTTAAATTTGTTGGTCTCATAAAGTACCCTATGGGTACGATTTCTGATCTATAGACTAGCTACACGAAGAGTTCGGTTCAGTGGCTTGGAAGATATTGTGGGTGCAGACACAAAATAAAAACACATCACTGTGAAACCAATACCTTCTCAGCTCCGCTAAAACTTTTTTGAGACCGGCGCCGGGAAATGAATAATCGACAGCTATTTAGGACATGGCAACTTTAAGGGCATCGTTTATAATATAATATTGTTATACCATACAGCATGCACACACCATCGCGTATACATATGCGTCTTATCGCGCTGGCGCGTTATACGAATGTACGCTATTAAGGAGAAAAACACTCGGCGATCACGCGCGCGTCCCTTTCACTCTTTCGGGGAAAATATAAATAAGATGTATAAAATATACATTTATACACACACACACACACACACACACACCTATATACAAAAGTCGTTATATACACGCGATATTCCGGGCACAACGAACCGGAAGTGGGGGGTACGGGGAGCAAAGTCTCCTCGGGAGCTATTATTTTCTGTCGTTTATTTATCACAAAACGGAAAATCGAAAAACAAATTGCCAATTTTTCACGGTCGACTACCGCTTTTCACAACAGAAGTCATTATCAAAACACTGGCAAAAGTCTTATATTGGAAACAAGTTTTGTTTTCACCGACCGACTTACGGCACGTGTTGTCCGCCGGTGCATTTTTTTAATAATTATTTGCAGACGGCCGCTCGCCCTTTTCACGCACGATTGACCGGAAAGGGAGAGCGACGACGACTCGTGCCTGTGTGACGACGATATTGATAGCAAAAATAATATTATTATTATTATTATTATACTCGTAGTGTATGTCCCTAAAATGACAGTTGCGGCGCGTTGAAAATATATAATAACATCCATTATCCGTGTGCATTCAATAAGTAACCGATTCCAACAAACAATAAGGACAAAAGCAATAATTGTTGTTGTTAAACAATGACGTATAAATAATAATAATAAAAAAAAAATGTGTAACGCTTTCAACGACCGTTTTTTGAGCATGATGTGATTGCAGTTTTTAATTGTTTTGCCCTAATAGTATGAAGATTTTTTTTCGAAATGGGCGTACGCTACTCGAATGAAAAATTGATCTAAATAGTAATTTAAAATTATGTATTGAGTTAAACAATCTGTTTTCCAGTTACCGTTATATATACAAATAATTTAATACAACTTACAAGGTGTATACATAGGGCTCGGGTTCAATACTTGAAGTGGGAATTTGTCAAACGTTCCAAGTTCCATACAGAATACAGCATATTTAGTTTTATAATTTGTTTGTATTTTATGCATTAACAAAAACAATTTTGTATGTTTCCAACCGATAAATAATATAGTTATTTATTTATTATTTTATTTTTTTTTTATTTTAAGAGGCTTCAACATCTGTGGTTATTAGCCATTGTGTACATGTTTTGTGTAAGTTACATTAATAATTAATTATCAAAGGTTACAATATTTTTTAAATAAGAATAATGAAATACAAAAGTGTTGATTAGATATTGTTTACAACGTTAATTTTTGTAAGGAAATTTAAAATTGTTATGGTGTTGTCTTCATGGAGAGCTTCTTCTAAGTTGTTGGGTATTGATAAAGTACTTCGGATGTTTTGTAGGTCTGGGCAGTCTAGGATGATGTGTTGGATGGTTAGGTCTTCTTGGCATTTATTACATATGGGTGGTGCATCTTTGCTGATTAAGAAAGTATGTGTCAAAGAGGAATGTCCGATTCTCACTCGGGTTAGAGTTACTTCTTGTCGTCTGTTTAAACTGTGAAGATAATGCCACTTTTTAGTGCATCTTTTGTATTTATTTTTATATAACCAATCCTCGGTTAAAGAACACGCCAAATTGTTTTCGGTAACGTATGAATAACCGAAATAACAAAACTGATTTTTTATCCTTTGGTACTGGTTATAAGTATGTTATAAGTATTTACCTATTTATTTATACAAAACATTTGTTATGAAATAATCGTTCGAAAAATTTTTTATTGAAGTAATTTCGATTTATTTGAATTTATTTCATTTTTGATTACATTTTCATTCGAATAAAAATGTACCTAGCTGTTAATTTTCTGTCATTTTTGGCGACTGTTTTAAAAATTGGAGATCATTGCACCCTAAGTCAACTGATTCCGATCACTCTACGACGGTATTGTTTGTTGTCCAATCGAGTAAAATTTTCACCGCAAAAATGTTATTAATTTATACAAAATTGTATACACTATAAACAATTAAACTAGTGTTAATTAACAAAAAAACACTAGCATAGTAGAAAATGAATAAAACAAATGTCGCGCCTATATGTTCCCCCTTTAATCAATTACTGTGGCCGTTAAAAGCAAAAAAATAAGTTTCTGATTCCGTTAAAGTATAATAATAATGCTGTTTTGATTACAGACACGAAAAATAGGCATTTTGAACGAACATATCGGCACAATTTTACACAGAGAATAAGTGATTACAGGAAACAAATTGTTTAGCTACGAAGGCGTTTTGCAAAATAGACGGTACTCCCCCGAGGTTTTGACTACATCCGGTCACAATAAACCGTTTTGACGTTTTTTTCGGTGATCGAGTATCCACCGTTTTGTTAGCAGACTTATATAATATTTTGCGATAGACTCCACCAAAGTAGGTCTACCTTTTGCCAAATTCAAACGCACTGGCGCAACTACTGGGTAGGAGGGTGAGCGGTGGTCAAAGTTCAACTCTTAAAGTTGTTGGCCTAATATTATACACTATACTGGATGACCGAATTATCAAAGTGATCCACTTATTTCTCGGAAAACAATATTGCAATTTCGTAGTTATTTGTACAATTTCCAAATAATCTTTTTGGCATTTTCTATCAACTCTCAAAAAGTATACCGTGACGTACAAATTACTAGTGTACTAGCGACCGATTTCAAATGGGATTCCCGCTGGCGACGGCGGTACCTTCGTCATAGTTTATCATCCGCCCGCCCATAAACTATGACA